GGGTAAATTCTCTGCCTCTGCTGTGGAAACGCAGCAGATCATACGCCCTTTGTCCACTTTGGCTGTTTTGATGTAATCCCTCCTAAGAGAGCATAACCTTCCCTGTGGCTGTAGAGCATCGCCGCTACGCTCGCCGCGATGGTGTCTAAAAGGATTATTCAGACATTTGAAAATATTTTTTCTGTATTTTACCCATTTTAATACCTGCTTTGTACAATTATAACGTCAGTCAGGAAAAGTTATGCTTTTCCACTTAGAAACCTTAATTAACAGCTGAGATAGCGACAGCATTGCTAATTAATGCAAAATTCCACTGTTGCAAATCAGGCTGAAAGGAAGTGAATGCGCTCAGCTGTTGTTTTTATTGCACAGAGTGAGATGGGTGACACATCATAGTTGTATAAGTCAGACGATTCAGTCCCGAGGCAAACACACTCACAGTGGCCTCACTGGTCAGTCAGGCAGCTAAATGATGTTGAAAGTGAATCGCCTCCCGAAACCAGCTCGCTATTTGCATGTGGGGAAAAACAGCCTACACGTGTAACACTAGTGTGTGTGTGTGTTGTGGGATAATCTGTGTGTTTAGCTGCTGTGGAAGCTCTGTTATCAGCACAGTTTCTGTTCTAAAGATAGGACGAGCTCCAGAAATGGCTGACGCGATATCGTGAGGAAAAGTGACCGCACCGCACCGACTAGCTCAACCAGAAAAACACGAGTTGGTGAGAAGCAAACTTGTGATGCTGCAGCACAAAGCAGTTCTCTAATAAAGGGCGAATGCTGCAGATAATTTGGACAAAAAACGCGGCAGCGTCTGAGTCAAGAGGCATCGACGAGGCCTTCGGGGGGGCAAACTAAAAACTTAGTCACTGCTTGAGTCGTTGATAATACATTTGACTGCGCATAAACATGTAGTGAGGCTGAAATCCGGATAGCTTTAGCTGCGAGTGTGTGTGTTTGAGAGACCGCTCGAGGCTACAGGAGCTGACAGGCTGCTAGTTGTTGACCCCAGGGGTAGAGGATGTTAAAAGGAGAGGTGAGGACATCTTGCCTGCTCTGCATTTTACCTCGAGGTTGATGTTGTCACGAGGTGGATGGTCCCCAGGAGCGGGGCGGACGTGCACACGCGTGTGTCTGTGTGCATGAACATAAGCCGACCTGAGTATTTACCGGGTTTTTGCCGTGGTTTGTCACGATCGCTGCCATGCGCGCACACACACGCTCACACCTGCAGCGTACACGGCGTCCAGGCGCTGTGCACAGGGCAGCACGCCTCGTTGTGTATTCTCCTCTGGTTGCAGCGGGACATTGAAGCTAACAGGAGGAGAGTATCCACCTGCAGTTCAGTACTGCACGTCAGCATCTCTAACAACTGTTTCTGACTAGGCCCCGCCTACGCTCTCAGCAGCCAATCACTCGGCCCTGCCCGCGTTCAGACAATCCTCATCACATCCAGCTCAACAGCCAATCTCATTAATTCAGTCTGCCTGGCCCGCGAGTCACTTATATTCCACTTTACCGTTCCACATTTAGCAAAGTTATTTGTGAAGCGGTGCATCTCCCGTCTGTAATGCATACCAACATCTATTTTTTCCTTTTCCACACACCTTGTGCACGTAATAAATGTTCATTTAACGCAGCAGGGCCGTCTGTATCGCGTCGTCTCTGTGCTCTTCCAGCCTCCTTTTGACCTCATCACTCAGGAGAGTAAATCCACTCAAAGGACAGAAGCCCTAAAAAAAGAGGAGCTCAGATGTGTCGACTTGACTTTCACCTTTAAAAGACGCTTTTAAAAATGTCATAACTCACTGACATTTACTGTGTGTGAGCGAGCGAGTGTGTGTCTGCAGCAAAGTGCAGGCCAGAGACTTGGGAGCCACGCAGCCTTGGCGTCCATCACTCTACCATCTGTCCGTTAGCACCTGCTTCATTTGTGCTCTCCTGCTCTCTGTTTTACCCCCTCTAACCTCGC